GAAACATAGAGCGAGAAAGAGAGAGAGAGAGAGAGAGTGAGAGAGAGAGAGAGCGAGAGAGAGAGAGAGAGCGAAATAATGAAAAATACGGAGAAAGTGAGAAACATAGATCGAGAGTGAGAGAGAGGGAGAGGGAGAGGGAGAGAGAGAGAGAGAGCGAAATAATGAAAAATACGGAGAAAGTGAGAAACATAGATCGAGAGTGAGAGAGAGGGAGAGGGAGAGAGAAATGAAAAATACGGAGAAAGTGAGAAACATAGAGCGAGAGTGAGAGAGAGGGAGAGGGAGGGAGAGAGAGAGAGAGAGAGAGAGAGAGAGGGGGGGGGAGAGAGCGAAATAATGAAAAATACGGAGAAAGTGAGAAACATAGAGCGAGAGAGAGAGAGAAAGGACAAAGGTAGATAGAGAGCGAAATAATGAAAAATACCGAGAAAGAAACGAGGGAGAGAGAGAGAGAGCGCGAGAGAAAGAGAGAAAGAGAGAGAGAATGAAAAATACCCAGAAAGCAATAGAGTGAGAGAGAGAGAGAGAAAGAGAGAGAGTGAGAAAGAAAGAGAGAGAAAAGACGAATAGACAGAGAGAGCGAAATAATCAAAAACACCGAGAAAAAGGAGGGAGAGATAGATAGGTAGATAGAGAGAGAGTGTGTTGAACGGAGAAGGGAAAAGAGAAAAAGAGAGTAAAATAGAGAGAAAAAAGACAGAATACGAGAATGTTTATGCGTATATGTGTTTTTCCGTTTAAACAAGGATTAAAAAACCTTAAAACTATTATGTACTTGCACATTTTTGAATAAGTTGGAATTGATTCGAAACAGCAGAAACCAAAGTCATAGAACTTATCAAGGTTAACAATACAGTACCTGAATTGAAACTTTACCTAACATCAAAATAACTTTAGCAATCTGATGTATTTATTATTAAATACTTTACACATGAATAGGCGACTAGCTACAATATGTTGCAAAATGCATATTTTATTTTCTCAAGAGAAAATACAGTACAAGATGTTTTATTTGGTAATAAATCTTGATCATCGTTCTTGCTTTAAAAGTGATTATGAAGCACCAAGCCTTTTAGCTATCAAGAAAGAAAAATCGTCTAAAATAACTGTGATTTATGGTGATAAACAAGTCTGGTACATGATAAAAAAATCTTATGTTGTGTAGACGGGACATGAGATGAATTTGTACGTTTACATGTAAGACACAACATCGCACAATTAGCATGCGATATGTACCAATAATAAAATTGAGTAACTAAGAAATTATTATTATCATTTAAAAAATTTGTGTCAATTGAACGAAGTGTTGGAGAGATCCTACCTCCTCATTATGTTATGCAATGTAGTTCGTACAAAACTGCGCTTGTCATAAATTATATCGATGGCATAAACAAAATCCCACTTACAAATATATCTTCAAAAAAATATAATATTTTTTAATATTGGGTGATCAATCTTACCGTTAAAATAAAAACTTATGAGTCTCTTATTTATATAACTAGAGTTTACGGGTCAAACAAGTTTTCAGCATGAAAATAATAAAAAGTTCTTAATCAAATGCTTTACGAGAAATCGTTTGTATCTCGCCATATGTAAAAAATAATACGCTATATTTAAAGGTAATACCTCAATAAAAACCAAGAGAGGCGATTTTATTGTAAATTACAAAACCACAGACCTTTGAATCCAAAATTGGATCGTAAAGTGCTGCAAATAGTATGTAATACAGATCTTCTAAATGATTAGTCATCAGGTCATCAGAGGCAACTTCCTATGTATTCAAAAGAAAAATTTAAAAGGAAATCAAATCTTCAGATTGTTTTTATCAATTAACCAAACGGCTATAAGTAGAGCCAATGAAACACCAAAATTTGCTTGTTTTATTTTTGTCGGAAGTTCGGATATCAATTTATGAATGCAGGTAAACCGTAAAAACAAAATCGCCTGGTCAGGTCTGCCTTTCAATTTCTTATGTGCATTACAAATGAAGCATTCACGGAGGGTTTTGCCCCAAAGATCATAATTGATTTATAACTTGATCATTGTTTCTCAACGAAAAACTCGTAAGGCCAATTTGGTCGGTGTTTAAGGTGTTTAATGTTCGTCAAACAATTCATCATTTTCAGAACAGTATTAATGGATTGATTTGATATATCTAGATTTTTACCAGAGAAAATTGCTAAAGAAAAAATGAAGAAACATTATGTTTTAGTAAATCACAGATTTTTATAATGAAAAATATTTCCTAGCACAGTTCCTTGAAGCACTCCCGAAGTGTTCGAAAGAACAGAAGAAGAAGAATGAATTATTTTTGTTGGTTAAGTTTGATTTAAAATATATGATTTAAATAGTCCAAGAGAACTAACTAACAAACATATACATTCATTAGAAACATTAACACAATATAAATAAATTTTAAAAATAGCTTATATTTGAAATAAATAATTTAAATAGTTAACGTATATTATAAATATCATGTCTATTTATTATAATTACCCGTATTATTACTCATAAAAAACCTGCAAAATCGTCCGAAGGAGTAAAAACTTTTCTAACAAAAGAAAATAATAAAAAAAAATAGAAATATGATCTCAGATAAAAGGTTTAGCGGGGTTGAAATACATTTGCATAACGTAGCACTTACCCTGGGTTCTGTCCTTTCATGACTTTTAGCAACTTCGCTCTTCAGTGGGGCAAGTTTCAGGGATCCTCCAGGTTGAACTGCTAGGACAGAGTTTTTTTCGGCTGAACCCCTTAGATTCAACACGGTTTTACTTTCACATTATTTTGTTTTCAAGGTTTGAACATTATTTATTTAGAATGTGATAAGTATCTTAATATGAGTATCTTATATATATGTCCATTTAAATTTTTAGGCTTTGTACAAATGTTTTTATTAAAAACGGACATTTGTTCTCATTTTTATTCACTGGACGAATACTCAGCAATTTATGTAACGACATTTTTGTTTTTGATGACGGATTATCTCACTACTAGGCCATTTTTATTTTAGTTTTTCTCTTCTGCAAACAATTTAAACACACAACACACACACTTGTCCAGATTGAGAAAAAATATTGTACTCTGTCTCATGCAATAAGAGCCTAAGCAAAGGTGAAGATAAAATAATCAGATACACGAGGCATTTCATACAGTAAATTTATAACGACAGAGCGAGAAATAAAAATGAAATGTTGCAACAGCTTCGTAGAAAGTCAATTTCGCGACGACGGTTCATTTTTCACCTTTCCCCTTTTATCCCGTTGGCGAAAGTTTACTTTTTAATAAGAGAATATTTTTTCAATTTCACTTAGCCCTTGCAAAAACGGATCTCCTTGGAAGGAAAAGGTAGATTTTCCCTATTTCAGTTGAGAGTTTATTCTTTTGAACCCGGAGGACGAAGAAATTAATCAGTGAATTCGAAACAGTGAGCATAAAAATTAAAAATACTTTTGAAACTTTTGTACCTGTAAAATCTATTATATTATTAAAAGAAACACAAGATAAAAATTAACCTTGATTGTTATAAGTGGACTTTTATTGGATTCCACTTGGATCTTTCTACTCCTAATCAGGTAAAACTGAAATCAACAAATTTTAATGAAAAATTGTACACCATTTTTAAAACTTTTTTCTGTTTTGCTACAATTAATTATCAACATTATAATATTATTAAAGAAGAAATTCTTTAGATAATTTGTAAAAGAGGCATGTTTCTTGTAGCAATGAATAAACTGCTTTCCTATAGAAAGATAATGATTTTTATTTGCGTAATGTACACGTGGCTGTAAATTCTGAGTGGCAAACGGTTTCAATTTAACATACTTCATTAACATACCACATTTGTAACAACGGGGTGAAAATGTAAAAAACCATTTGCAAATGTTAATTTGACAATTTATCAAAACATTAAAAATAACAGCAACAATTTTAGCGAACATTATTTTATTTCAGTATTGAGAATGTGATACGTAACGAAATATTTTAGCTTTTTATTATATTTTTTAATACATAAATAAATAACTACATATACAGATAATATAATAATTGTATAAAATAGTTTACTACTAAATATGTATAAATTATTAATAGTTGCATATCAATTTTTACTTAAATTAATGTGCTTAACACAAACGAATGTGTTTCCAGTTTTTTGACAAGTTAGTCCTCTGTGTTCTTACCATTGGGATAGTGAGCACGAGAAAACAAAAGTTGCATATAAAAGCGTATTTGGGTGTATCACATAAACAAGAAGGAAAAGAAACATGGGGAGAGAGAGAGAGAGAGAGAGAGAGAGAGAGAGAGTGAGAGAGGAAAGAGAAAGAGGGGAAAGAGAGTAAGAGAGAGAGAGAGAGGAGAGGGAGAGAGAGAGCCATGATCATTACACCATCTATAAATAAAAGTTGGTCGATCGTCAACGACTCCTAACATGTAAATATTATTGCCTCTGTTTTTTTCACTTTTAAGCTTAAGTTGCTACAATTAACTAGAGAGAGAGGGAAAGAGGAGGGAGAGATAGAAAAGAGAGGGAGAGCGAGCGAGAGAGAGAGAGCGGGAGAGCGAGCGAGCAAGCGAGAGAGAGAGAGAGGGAGAGCGAGCGAGAGAGAAAGAGAGAGAGTGGGAGAGCCAAGCGAGCGAGCGAGAGAGAGAGAGTGTGTGAGAGAGAGTGAGAGAGAGAGAGAGAGTGAGTGAGTGAGAGAGAAAGAGGATAACAGAAAGAGTTAACTTAGCTACATAAATGTGTAGAGATTAGTGACCGTTAATCTATAGTTATTCAGATATCGTGAGATGCGGTCGGGAGTGATGTAGGTTTCAGAAAAACATTTTCTTTATCGTGCCNACACTTTGAGCCCTGAAGATGATCTCAATAAAAGATCGAAACGTTGGCACGATAAAGAAAATGTTTTTCTGAAACCTACATCACTCCCGACCGCATCTCACGATATCTGAATAACTAATTAGCTACATAAGTTTTTCTTCTATCTAATAAATTACACTTGGACAAGGGATACGTTTAATATTTATAGAGATTTTGCAATTTTAATGCGAGTAGTCCGCTGGCTGATTTCCATGAAAGCACAAACCCGATTCCGAGCAGTATGGGCCACATTATAATGCCATAATATCTCAACCATCTCTTCAGAATAATAGCCTAATAATGGCATGATTTATAGGCGAATTGTGATCCTGGCGTCCAGGACTCATTCGGCTCTAGATCTTCGAGCGATTGCTACATGTGCAATTTGCAGTCTGGCAGATGTAGGTGTAATTTGTCAAGTGCTAGAAGTTATTGAGGAAGGATACAATTAAATTACATGTGTCGTCCATCAGAGAAAACCGTCTCCATATATCACGTCAAGAAGGACTCTTTCGTTCGGAAGTAAATAATTTCCTGTTCCAAAATCGATGACAACGAAAACGTTTAACACTCTAAAAACCCCGCGTCGTTTGAAAAATTGACGTTTTTGCTGATACCTATGAAAAGGGATGAGAGTAATGGAGGTATTTTAAGACGAAATATATACACACTCTGTAACTTTTTCTTCTTGTGGTACGGCGTTTCTCCCTTCCGACCTCATCTTACACCGGTTTTATTCCATTCCACGGTTTATCTTCAGAAGTGTCTCATAGTGCTTTTTTGTTACCATCTCCCGCCCAAAGGCAATATTTTCCGGAATTCTTTTATTTCGGCCCAAAGCCCTCTTCAGCATTCGTTATTTTAAAAGTAAAATTGGAAGACGTCAAGTATGCGACTGTTATTACCAACGCCCTTGAAAAGTATATCGTTTCGGTAAGTTGTCTTCAAGAAATAAATGTTATAATATTGACAATTGTAAAGCTAACCTTTCTGTTATTAAACGAAATAAATAAAAATAACATATTGTCTAAAAGAATCAGGTGGTTTGTACAGGTAATGGTACTGTCGTAACTTCGCAGAAAGCGCAATTATAAAAGAAGCTCAAAACTAATAGTAGAATAATGGTCAAAATTCTGTTTATGTCTGTTTATATACCTTTAAAATAAACATTTTCAAACTATCCATTCCTTAAGAATCTTCCCTGATTCCTATCACACTAAAATATTAATTCTGAAAAGGGTCTCATCTAATGGTTTTTGCACATAGAGCGTTCTTCTACAAGAAGCGGATGTCCATTGAAAATCCCGTTCTTCAATTGATTTATTATTTATTATCTGCCTCCTTTATTAATGACATATGCTTTTTTATTACATTTATTTGCTATTGACAACTGCAAATTATAAAAATATTGAGTAAATATTTTTTATTGTTTTGGCCAGAGTAAAGTAGGCTCTGCACTTTGACCCTTTGAATCCTCTCCTCAACCTCACTCTTTGTCATTTTCCAGCAGTTCTGATTTCTCTGTGCCCCTGTAAGAATCTATTGGGAAAGAAAAAACCTCTCTGTCATCTTTAAACCTCGGCCGTAAGCACATCTCACTTTTCCATTTAATTTTCCGTTGAGCACGCTTCTTTCACTAGAGTTAGTGATCTTAGTGAGAGCGCGTTTAAAGTGAGTTAGTGAACGGCCACCTCATAAATTTGAAAACTTCATCAAACAAACATTATTCTCATTAAATCCATTATATTTAGTTGACTGATTGACCAAATTATTTCTTTCAATTAATCAACCTTTCATGTAAGGTTTCAGTTGAAATGAAAAAGCTAGTGCCACGAGCAGGATTCGAAGCCACGACCTTCGGCTAGATACGCCGCTGCTCTACCACTTGAGCTCCACTCGGACATCAACTCTCATCTCAACCCCACCTTTTGAGTTTTCCCTCCTTTTGCCATTTTTCAAATGTCGTGTAATCGGTTTGTATTCTTGACGACAATTGAAATGGCGACGGAGAGCTTTAGTGAAGTGTACTTCATTTTTAAATCATTAATTCACTAGTTTCGTGGTCCGCTTGACCAATTAATACATGACAAGTAATTAAGGTTTTTAGTTGAGATGAAAAAAAGGTAATGGCACGAGAGGGATTCGAACCCACGACCTTCGGCTAGATACGCCGCTGCTCTACCACCTGAGCTATCGTGACCTCGATCCACTGGGACATCAACTCTATTCTCATTACTGCAAAAAGCTCTAGGCTGCATTCCATGGGTGTGCTGGGCATTCAGATATGCCATCCGACATGTTTAACCTGAACTAGCTCGATCCCGGTTGAAATTTCACGTGCCTGAGCCCGATTAGTCCTCAGTGACAATTATCGCTTCTCGGACTCCTCTTGTCGGAGTGCAGTAGCCATGGGAAAACGTACTTTTTTTCTAAGACTATTAGAGGTTAAACTCAGGTCTCGCAGGTGTGTTCTTTTGGCTGTTCTTTTAAATGTAAGGATGCCCTTAGCGACATGATTTAAGCTTTCGGGCATATCGTGTGACCTCTAATATGTCTGGTAGCATCATATCGACGAATATTTTTATTCCATACGTACAATTATCATTTTTTGGATGACGCATACTTTAACTAGCCAACATCCAACGAACAAATTAGCTCTAAATTAATAACGAAGTATGTTTAATTTGAAGCATTGAAACAGCTATTATTAAGCCTCAGTGATATCGACTTTTACCCCATTCCAGTTTAATCAGTCAACACTAGATAATTACTCGAGCTATTCCATGCGAAAATGGTGCCTTGTTTTACTGCCCTTTGATCAAACAATTATACTATTTCTGCTGAATAACAGTCGTCGATTCAACGTGAATAATTAGTCGAACTGAACTAAATTTGCAATTTCTTGAAGGGATAAAAGTGGTTGAGAATCACGACCTGGAAGTAAAGTTAACATAATTAAACTTGAGTTGATAATTAAAGCCATTACCCTGAGGGGACTTTGGCCCAATTTATATCTTAACGAACTTTTAATTCGAATCTTCATTAAAAATCATAAATGACGGGGCAAATTGAATTCGAATCTGTCAATAATGTTTGTTTGTTGTACAAAAATTAAACATCAGAATTAATGTGGCATGATCAAACACTTCACTTGTTTATGATTTAGGTAAATATTATTTTTTCTATCTTCTTTTTTTAATTTCATTTCATCGAACACGTAAAACGTTTTGTTCGTTGTGTTCTCGGTTGATCAATTTGTAACGTTAAATTTACAAATTTGCCGTTTTGTTAATTATCGAACAGTTTTTCTGACAATTGTTTCTATTGTAAACATTTTTAACGATCGGATAATATTTTCTATTATCACTCATTTGTATGTTTCACAAAGAAAAAAGAGTTGGTTAAATGATTGATTGATTTAATCAATGGATCAAATTCACACAATTACTGATATAATAAGATAACATTAACAAACTTTTAATAAAGTCAATTATGAAAACACAGTTCATAAACTTTTACAATATCCTCCCAAACTTTCAGAGAGATTGTACCAACTAAAAACAATGAAGGATATTTCGATTTTTTTTAAACGAAGGCTGTTCGATAGAGAAGCATCTTGGGAGCAAACCTTTATCTACTTTATACCAGAAGTCTAGAAAATAAGTTTATAATCTTCTCCAGTAGTCTCAAATATAGTAATTTTCCTGTTGCCTACTATGTTTGAATGTCTTTAGAAGGAAAATTAATGATTTGATGTGGGCATATCACGTGACTACATTAAATGTTCCCTGTTTCCTTCGAGCCCGATGAATATCTTTATTACGGTCTCTAATCACCACACATCTTTTATTACCATACGAACCAAAGAGTCTTCAAACATTTTCCTTAGTACTTTTGTTTGATTGTGTTTTACCTCCATTTACGTTATTCTTTACTGCAGAAATCCACAAGAGTGTGCTAATCTAGATCGGTTTTAATATCTGAATGTATACTAGAAGTATTGACAAATGAGATTATTTCCTAAATTTGGTTGCTAATATTTTACAGTTTTCGAGTTGTCGATTCCATTATATTTTCCAATGAAAGAGCTGCAGTATCATCCGGGAATGTTGCTATAATTGAGTTTTCTGGTGACTACAGGTCACCTTTTGAATTTTAATATATTAATTGTCGCTTGGGACAATCAAATTTACTTCAGTTTCAGTTTTTCGAGTAAATATTTTGCCGCCAACGCGTAATTAATCTTCCTCATATGCTAGAACTATAATTTACCATGATGAAAAAATATACCGACCTACCATTCATACCATCCAAAAACGTATTAAATTAAACAGTTTTTGTAAAATTTACCATTCTCTAGGAAGTTTCGTCACATCGAAGAAAATTTTTCATCTCTTTTTAAAGATCGTCCGCCGTTTAAATCATATCGGATTTTGGCTAGTTGGACTGAAAGCGTTCTGTAATGACCCATTCTTTATATAATGACCCATTTTTATTCTAAAACAACCCCAATTTTGATGAAAAATGCACGGAAAGTTGAGGAAATCTGGTCTTTAATGGAACATCTCCGTTTTTTCCTAAATTAATTGATCAAATTGTACTCTCTTAACGAAGTAAGTTAAAAACTTGGCTTTTTACTTTCTTTACCGTTTACTATCACCCAATCGTTTATTTTTGCATCTCATAGCAAACCAACCTGTATAATAATCCATGTAAAATCAATAATTGAACAAAATCTTTGTTTTTAAGTACAGTTGTAATAAATAAATCGAGTAATCAAAACAATTTCACTTTCTGGATAAACCCAGACTTAAAATCGACTCAATCCAGTGTTTCTTTCGATGTCTACTAGGATGATAACTGCATTGGCCTTATAACAAAACTAATAACAAAGCTGCACTACCAAAATTATAAATAATAAGTAAAAAAGACAATTCTCTTGCATCTTTCATGTAACTTGCAACAGAATGAAGATTAAAATACTCTTAACGAGTTTTTAATAAATTTTCAGAATAGAACAGACTGATCAATATGCAAGACGATCATTATACAACGAAATACTTGTTTCCCTTTCTCCAGTAAACACTAAATTTAAACGGTAGAAGAAACAACAATATGAAAATATTTTAATCTAAATTCCCCGTTGATATGAAAAGTAACCGTCACGAGCGGCAATCGAACCGAAGAAGGTCGTGAATGTAGTGTGATATCCTGGTGAGAAATCCCCATGTTTCACCAATTTTTAAATTGTATGTATTGTACTGTTTGAAACGTTACGCTGTATGAATATACAATATTGACGTGAATGGAGGTACGACGGCGACGTGCCAGACATCTTGCCGACGCTTTAGTTAGTTGTAGGCTGCAAGTCCTTTGTGGTGCATCTGTACTCTGAGACCCGCCATGTAAAAGTTATGTTAAATTTTCAGTAGCATGAATGTCTATTGTGGATGTGTATGTTAGTTAATGTAGTTAAATTTAAACCTATCATTTTTGAAAGGGTAAAAACAAAGAAATACAAATATCCTGTTAGTTTGGTAAAACAAATTTTCCTCTAGCCCTATATAAAACAGGATAAGTCAGAAGAGAAATGTTACGATGTAGAAATAGACTACACCTAAAAGTTGAAGAAAAAATATTTAATTTAATTTTAAAAGATCATGTATTCCTTCAAAAATTTAATTTATACAAATTACAAAATTGAATAGTTAATATCGAAATAATGCTTAGTTTTGAATTTTTATTTGTAAAAGATGGTTTCCGCCTTTTATGTTTATATTTTAAACTAAAAAAGAAAAACTGTCATTAAACTGCCGTTTAGTTTGCGCAATGTCTGCTTTCTACCGACATACCGCTGAACCAGTACTGTCTCTACAACCTAGACAGACTACCAGATTGTGCGATATCCACCACAGTCGAAGTGAAATTTAAATATAAACTTTGTAAAAATTTTAAACTAGTTTAAATACTTTTGAGCAGTCAAATGAAATATAACTTTAAGCCAACGCTGTAGTAACAAAGAAATAAAGGTTTAAAAATAAATTGGTAAAAATTGGTTAATAAATACAATTTCAGTTTCGATGCACTACTCGCAAAATCAGATTTTCATATTATTCAGAATTATATATAATATTGTTTATATTCTCACTGATTTTTATCTTTTGACTAGCTGTTTTGTATATTTTAAGTTTTCCAAACTTTGAGATAATATGTAATATATGTTTTTTATTTGAAAATACACTTTATATTCTCATAATTTTTTGTACTTTGACTATTTGTTTTGTAGATTTATACTTTTCCAAA